TCTATTTCCAGTAAAATTCCCAAAGACAAGCATTGTATATTGCACCACAAATGTGTGTAATATTTCATCGCCATTGATCTTTAAAGATCACACAGACATCTGTATTGTGAATGTAGTTATGTATTGATTGAAAGTGTTCCAAAATGATTCTTTCAATAGAAACATTGTGTCTTATTTGAATTTGTGGACATTTACTTTTACATGATCTGATGGACAATGACTTTGATCACAAAGTTGTATAATTGTATTTGTAAGGGGAAGTAGTGAATGGCTTTTAATGTTTTTGACATTTGACATTGCTTTTTTTCTTTACAGAATGCATTACAATTCTTTTTTTTCCTCTTATCTTTGCACAGAATGTGGAAATGGTTCAAATGGAAATGCCTGGGAATGAATGTTCTCTTGACATTGCTGTAGCAAGTACCAACTGAATGGTTTTGTTAATGCCTCCGAGCTAGATTTTGTGACTCAAAGGGTATGCGGGAAAACAAATGTAATCTTGTAGCGTTTTTGTGATTCAAACATGTGAACAAAAAGCAAACCTCACATGCATGTCTGCTCTGGTGGACTACACAGTAGAATTACCTATAGTACATGTAAAGTCGCAAACCACTGTATATTGAATGGTCGTCTGTGCAACAGACCACTGCAAGGGTATGTCTCCACTGTGCTAATTAATATCTACAGAGGTCCCCTAATATATATAATCACACACACAAAACACTTACCGACTATATTTAAAGCACAAAAAAAGAAGAAAAAAAAACAATGTATTTGTAATAATGATATAACTGTTTTACATATACTCAGACCTCTGTTTGAAAATCACTTTCAAAATGTCATGCAAAAATCATTTAAAATGTAAGCAAATTTGCTTACATTTTTCAGTACGTCATCTGATTATTATCACTAGCGTGCCGTTTTACAGAGTAGACCATGTGAAAACTTCACTGTACATCAGCTGCTACCTACAAGCGGTAGATTTAGTCACGTATATATAGTCACATATTTCAGTGCTGAACTGACTCAGACATAAGAGTTACTGGACTGTAGTGGTCCGCTACACTCTTAAATGCTCAGATACATTCTTTATAATGGCGCACCAAGATGCTCTGACCTATTGTAAGTTAATGTCTTGTAAACTTTAATGTAAAGGTGTATTTGTACATTTTGCTGCCAATGTAAAGAAAAAAAAACTGTTGTGAAATGTATTTTTTGTATTATACATCACTACTGTTTTGTTGTTTTTATTATATTGTACATAAAAGCACTTTAATTTTAATTTTTTAAATAAAAGAAATAAAACCACTGGTTTGTACTGATTCAACATTATTTGGGTCAATTACAGTTACAGTTGTGAAACTTGCAGTGGCATAGAACTATTACACACACACACTGCTGGTCAAAAGTTTGGACTAATTAAGATTTTTAAAAGGAGTCCTATAAATGCAAGGCTGCATTTATTTAATGAAATATATAGTAAAAACAATAATATTGTGGCATTATTGTTATAACTGTATTCTGTTTTAATACATTTTAAAATGTGATTTATTCCTGTGATGGCACAGCTGAATTTTCAGCAGCCATTACTCAAGTCTTTAGTGTCATATGATCCTTACGAAATCATTCTTTGGTGGCTCAATTATTATTTATTTGTGCTCAATAATTAACAATCATCCTTATTAATGTTGAAATCAGTTTTTGCTGCTTTCAAAAGCAATGTTCAAAAGTATTTATTTGAAATGGGAATCTTTTGTAACATTATAAATGTCTTTACTGTGACTTTTGATCAATTTAACGTGTCCTTAAAGTATAAAGGTTGTTTTTTTCTTACCAACCCCAAACTTTTGAATGGTACTATATAAGTATTTCCACAAAAATATTAAGAAGGAAAAAATATGAATTATTAATTATTATTATCATGTTACACTGAAGACTGGAGAAATGGCTGCTGAAAGTTCAGCTTTGCCATCACAGTATGCCAGTATGCCATCACAATGAATTACATCTTACAATAAAACAGTTATTTAAATTGTAACAATATTAAATATAATAATATTACTGTTTTTACTGTATTTTAATTAAATAAATTCAGCCTTGGTGAGCATAAGAGACTTTAAAAAAAAAATCTAATTATTTTCTAATTATAATTATTCTAAACATTTTTGGTCCCCAAGAGGAAAACAATTTACAAATCATAGCTACTAAGTGAAAAATGTAAAAATTGAGAGAGTTTTGTGTGAGGGGTAGGTTTAGGGGTAGGGAAAGGGGATAGAAAATACAGTTTGTACAGTATAAAAATCATTGTCTATGGAATGTCCCCATAAAACATGGAAACCCAACGTGTGTGTGTGTGTTTGTGTGTGTGTGTGTGTGTGTGTGTGTGTGTCTGTTATTCCCTATGTTATAGGGACCAACAAGGATAGTAACACCAATAATTTATAAATCATATTAAGTTTTTTTGTTTGTTTGTTTGTTTTTTGAAAATGTTTTCTGTGAGGGGATATGTGTGTGTGTAAGTTGATGTCACTATTGCCAACCACTACCACTCAAGGGGTCAGCTGATATATTTATGGTTTTATAGGTTCTCTTTTCATAGGTTGATTTGTATGGAAATTTCCAATATAAATATTACTGTACCTTCTTAAATTTTTTCATTGTAGCACTAGCACCTCAAAAGAGATTTGCGCCATCTGCTCAAGTGCATGGGCTCTTAATTTTACTGTAATAATGCTGCCATCATGTGGCCATTGTTGGTATACGACACAGTTATCCTTTTTTTATATTTTATATTTCACTAGCCGCAATGGTTATCCTCTTGTTTCTTCCAGGTTAAATAAAGTAACAAACAGTAGGTGACATATCAACACGATGCTCATATTGGTAATGTAAATAATTAGGTTCCTCTCAGGTAATCCCGCTTTACGTGCGTGTGTGTCACAGTGACGCAGGTTAAAAGTTAACTATTTTGACTAAATCTTGTAAACTCTTGAGTTAGTTTAAGATTTAGGTGCGGTGCACTGTTTGCACAATGACACATCCAAAGAGAGATGAGGAAAAATAATAATAGCCTATACATTCAGAAAGGAATGCCTTTAGGATATTTGTTTACTTTTGTAGTTTCCTTTAAGATAGTTAGTTTTTATTAATGGCAATCTGTGTGCAATTCGGCGAAAATATCTTTGAATTGTATGGAAGACGAGTACAGCTAACAATATGTGGCGTGAACATTACCAAACAAAGGCAGGCAAATGTCCTTCAGCAGATAAAGACCAGTCCACACCTGGAAAGGAAATAAAAGTGCAGGCGCTTTCCACAGATGAAACCGCACTGGACGACGCACTGTACGATTTGTGATGTCATATTGGTAAAGATGTCTGATAGGCCTCATATCTTTTAAATAATTTTATTATAGTCGTTATATCTATTCGAAAAAGACTATCCAATGACACACTAACTTGAGTTCAACTTGTTACAATGCGTGATAATGAGCGATCATCCAATCACTCATGCCTTCATCTAAATAAGCTGCCTGTAGTTTCAGCGTGAGGTTTCTGCGCACCTGTTGGTGATGTACATGTTAGATCACGAACCTTTAGAGTTCATTTCTCTTCACACTTTCGTCTTTTCTTTTCGTCTTTTTTATCACTTCCACGTTTTCGGAGCATTATCTTTGTACACGGGTGTATTTTGTATAACCGTTTGTTTGTCCTCGTTCAATGAAAATATGAACCAAGCTGACCTTCGGAGACTTTTTGCAGCATGTGATGGGAATAAGTCAGGAAGAGTCGAATACGAGGACTTTACCATTGTTTGCCGAGAGCTTAATGTCCCTGCTGACGAGATCAGGACTTTATTCAACAAGTTTGATCTGGACGGAGATGGATACATTAACTTTAACGATTTTTCGTCAAGCTTTCATGAAGTTTCCGAAGCCCTCAATTTGGCCTTGTTGGGAAATAGTTTACAAAGTCAGAGAAGCGCTTGGGATGAGTTTGAAAACGCATTAGACGGAGATGTGGCCTTTTATTTGGGAAGGTAGCTATATTTTGACTTGTGAAGTTCAGAGTCACTTATTTTGATAAACATTTACTGACAAAAGAGAAGCCAAAAGAAGATGTAATCTTTTTTTTTTTTAAGTTTTAAAACATTTTCAAGTTAAACAATTAAGTATCATAGCGTGTTATTTTTTTAACCCAAAGAGTGTTTTTAAGGCAATTTTAATAACAAAGGGCTTTAAGTATTTTAATTAATTTTTTATTTTAAATTGGTCATCTTGCTGCCCCTTGAATATTTTCAGGATTGAGACCATTATAGAATTTAATACAATACGGCAGTATGTGCGATAAGATTGTAATGCTCAATATCATATTAATGAATCAACAATTGTGAAATTTGCATGTATTGCATTTTATGGAGGACGGAAGCACTGGCCTTTTTTTTTTTTTTTTTTTTTAGTGTTTCTAATGTTTTGTTAAAAAGGCCCACAATC